CTAACCTAAAAAGTTCAGTACCAACAGCAAATGTCATCTTCTGCAGACAGTCGAGTGATATAGCCCCGGTCAGTACTACCACACTGTACACTGGGTACAGGAATCTGGAACAATGTCACACTGTAGCAAAAGCATTTATCAAAATTTATTTACTTGATATGACGTCACAGTATCAAAAGTTGACATGGAAAAAAATCCTCAATGATATTTTAAAAATTTACTTTTTTATATTACATTATACATATATCTATATATATACAGTATAGTTATTTTCAAATATCTCGGCAGCCCAAGATCACCGCAGTGTTGTGGAGTCCCCCCCAACCGCAAACCAGTACCTGTTTTAGTTCCACTAGCGCCCTGAACGAGATTACTATAGCACCCCTTTTGGCCCAGCGTCCTAGGCTGTTGCGCCCTGGGCTGTTGCGCCCTGGGCTGTTGCACCCTGGGCTGTTGCACCCTGGGCTGTTGCGCCCCAACCATAACATTAGCCCTGGCCACACTTAAAATTGCTTCGAGCCTCTGAATGTTTAATTTCCGCAATACCTCTCTTCCTTGTGCGGTTGCAACATGAATACAGCCAGCCAGAGCGCCAGGGGCAGTAAGGCGAGCCAGTACGGCACGCAGAAACCGGCGCGAGCTGTGGACCGTGGAGCCACAGCGGTGCACGCGCCCAGCAACAGTGGGCACGACAGGGAAAGGACCTATTTGTGTACAAAAATTAGGTCCCAGTGTGATATAACAATGCTAGTTTAGGAACTGTGTAAATGACTTTCCCGCTTAAATTTACACAAATTAGGAATATTGCATTAAAACTCTTTTTTAAGAAATTGCGAAAAAAAAACATTATGATAAAAAAATATTAATCGCCATAAATTATAGGAATAATATTAATATTTAAAATATTTGTACAAATGAAATGTAATTAATATTTATTATCAAACTCACCCAAACAATATTAAAATTCAAGAAGCCATTAACAAAGTAATAAGTCCAGGGTTCCACTCCGTACAGATCAGGTCCGTGTTCAGTGAATATGTTATATGCGACAATGTTCCATGGAGCGACAACGAGACGTCCGTAATGCCATGAGTCCACCGCCACTGTAGGCAACAGTATCACTAACAGAGATATAACTGACCACTTAATGAACTCTGTGTATTGCTTTTTAATTATTAACATATCTATTGCTATTGGCAAGCCTAGGATTGCAGTAAATGGCCAACCTGAAAGGAAAAAAATAATTCTCATTATTAAAGGGAAAGTAAAAGGTGATAAAACCACCAATATTGTAAATATCCAAATCTCTTAAGTATTTCACTTGATTTGTATGATTGATTCATATTAATCTATCTCTCAATTTCTAATCACAATACACTTACTAAGTAACGTAGTAATAGCGGTAAGCACCACAGCATATGGATATCTTTTCCGCCACCAGCAAGCGAGCGCTGCAGCAACCAGCGCGGAGCTCCACGCGGATGGCAACATCGCGGCGGAGCTCGCGAACATGCCCGCCGCCGGCAGTGTCAAACAGAGCCACACACGACCCACGTGCACGCCAAACTCGTGGCATATAGCTCTAGATATACAAACAAATCTGGATTAGTGAGAATCTAAGGGATCGCAATATTTTTCTTAAAAAGTCCAAACACTGACTGTCACTTATAGAGGTTTCTTGCTTATCCAGGTTCAACTGTAATTGTTTAGTATTACAAGTAACCTTCACTTAATTTTATAAATTATTTATTGTATTATACTAATTCTACAACAAAACTGTAACCCGGTGGCAAAGGCTGACAGTACAGACTTCTGTTTACAGCCGTCAAATCTCTAGTTTAAGGCATCTACACATCTCCACATACAGGTTCACATATTAGTTTTAAAACAACATTCCATTTCCTGAGGTTCAGACTCTCTAGCCTCATTTGAATTTGTACACTCTTATTTAATATATAATTTAAAACATAATAAGTCTTATTACTCAACTGATCTAAAAACAGCTAAACACTCATGTACATTCGTCCGGTGGCGGCACAGACTAGTTTCGAGCCCATCGGAGGCCCTTCATGAGGATGAGTGGTGGTATTATTTCGCGGATGCGGCCCGTTGCTCACCACCGCCACCGGACGAATATATATCAGTGTTTAGCCGTTTTTAGATCAGTTAGTATTAGTATTATAATGTCTCATGAAAGTTTGAATAATTTAATAGTCTTATTACTCACTTGTAAAACATGAAATCAGCACATGCAGATAAAGTAGCCAGTATTATTCTGACAGTATAAAATACAGTTACAGGAGCCATTATGTAGGACAATATTTTTGCAGGTAACGCAAACAGCCACAGTGGCATGTATGACCGTATTGCATATTCAGGACTGTACTCCCATGTTTGTAAGCCACTGCCATATACTGAAATATACACGTGTGATTAATTTTAATATAAGTATAGTTCTTTTTAAATATATTATTAGCCTAAGGAAGTTAAGAACCACCATGATATCTGAAAACTACCATAGCTTTAGCCATAAATATGTATTGTGTTATTTTTTTATTAAGTAATAAGACATTACTTTTTTTAACATTGAACCTTTTTACTTAGTTTTTAAAATTACAAACCTTCTCGAACATATAGAGTAACCTAGAAATATACCCCAATCAACAAGATAATCAAATGCTGGTCTAAACTATTTTTTTCAAGAGGTATAATTGCAAAGCCAGTGTTTAAATACACTTACCGAGATAATGCAATGGTTCCCAATAGTTATATGTTTCATCACAATCTGATATGTGGCTCCAATAAGCTGCTAAAAGTCGAGAAGTCAACAAAAGTCCCAGTGCTACCGCACCTCCAGGATATGCTATACTGCGTAAGTCTGACGGGGCGTTCGTCATAAGGAATTCACTGCAAATAATGCGCTTCGGTAGTAAATGAGGTTAACTATGACGACAACTTAGATATTTGCGATACATAATTCTAATAGTCTTAATTCTTAACGATTAATTCTAATATTATTAAAACCCAAAAGTAGGCAGCCTACGCCTTATTATTAATCCTTTTTACCTTTCGCTAGATTTACGAGTTTTCTTTCCCTTACTAAAACTAGCTGATCTCTTAGTCCCATTTTTGTTATGTATACTTCTTTGTCTAGCTGTTAATGGCATTTAGGTAATATGTTTATAAGAAATAATTGAATCCGCTTCTTAAATTAATTTGTAAATATCTTTTAGATAAAATACAAATAATAGTCTGTTTTGTGTTTGATATCAAATTGACAATGACAACTCGAACACGACCTTTTTTAATAACGAAAAAAAATATGCTATACATGTTCTGCCAACGACGAAAAATACAATAAAAATTACAATCAACATCATCACCCCAGTCCTTATCCCACTCACGTATGGTCGGCGCACCAGTTTTCGTCTTCTACATTGATCTATCTTCCGTCATCTCATTCCTCAGTCCCTTCTTGATCATGTTATCTTTCCCACAATCCATCCATCGTATCAATTGATTCCCCAAGTTAGCATTTCGTTCTGATGAATTTTGAAGAGCATTGATCTTACTAATGTTATAAATGCGAATTATTAGATGGATGGATGGATGGATGTTTGTTAGAAGGTATCTCAAAAATGGTTGCACGAATATCAGTAAAATTGATGAATGTAGAGATAGACCTTAGTCTTTAAGACTAAGTTCTACTAAATAAGTCTTTTTTTCAATTCCGACAGCTTTTATTATATAAAATAAAAAATAAAATGAAGTCAACATTTATTTAATCATACTTTAAACAAATTGTAGGTACTTTGTTATAACAAAATAATAGATATCTTTCTACACTGTTAAAAGTAACAGTCCAACTTAAACAATATGTCATACAATTGTTTCATCATCTACCTTATATCTTAAAATGAGACTATGATAGAAATCGTAAATTAAATTCATATTTTGCTCTTCATTGGAAATGGAAGTTGCCAGTACATATGACCTAATAAAAATAACATAATATTAGTATCATTCATATCTTTATTACTTTTCTATGATAAAGTTATTAAGAAAATTTTCAAATTGAAAGATTAATGCATATACAACCTTTTAGGTATTGTTTTATTAAAATTACTAAACTTTCTAATATTTTACTTGTTTTTTTTATGGAGTACTTAAAAATTATTGTTTTTGTTAAACATTCAATTGTTTTATCTGGAAATGCTTCATAATGCTGCATTAATGATTGACGATTGCGATGATTTGTTGAAAATAATCACAACATATCTGTTTTAGAAGAACAGACATTCATATTTTTGTCTATGTTTAAGTTTTTTTTTATTCATCAACAAATATACAAACTAACATTCCTAATTATAGTTAAGAGAACATCTTTAACAGTGAGACTTTAGGTAACTTGTGCTGGTGATTTTTCTCTTCTTTTTGTAAGTCTAGGGCATTTAAATGCATGCACATTTTATTGAGATATAAATAAATATTATAACATATATTTCATTTTTTCCTTCTACTTCTAACTACCATCCATCCTGGATCCTGATCTTCATCCATGGGTTCAACGGTATCATTGTTCTGTCTTGATGATGATGCTTCACCACCATTCATGTTTTGCGTTTGATCATTGCAGTTATCATTGTCATCTTCACTGCTACTGGTACTATCATCATCAGGATTTCCATGGCACTGAAAAAATAAAAATCTATGAAACAGTATTCACAAAGTTAACCAATAGAGGTTTGTAGACTTCACTTTGATTTAGCAGATGCACATCACTCTTGCCTATTCCCCTTTCATACATTGAAGCATTCATGCTTTTTTTTTGTAATTGGTACCAAAATAAAATCTACATGATGATGGAATTCCTTTACCATGGGAGCAATCAATATTCAGTTGACACAGTGAGAGTTTATACTGGGGTAAAGTAAACTTAGAAGATAATGTCTTACTTGTGGCGGCACTGAAGAATGCATGGGTACACTTAGCCAGATCTGACATTTAGGCAATGCTTCTATTCTAGCCCGGAGCTCATCATGTCTGCCTTCTTTTAGTAGTTCAAGGTATAATAAGAGTAGCGTTGCTATTTCTGAAATTGAACATTGATATATAAATTGTGTATGTAACATTATAGCATGGTTAATCGGCTACTACTTCACCTATCGTTTAATAACTACAATAAAAGGTTAAACGAAATAAAAACCTATTTACCTTTAGTTGAGTTGTCATGGCATGCAGTATCAAACTCTTCATCCATCAAATCTTCCAACAATTCTGTGAGATCCTCCCTGTCAACAATGTTCTCTACACAATATCTTGCTATGTATACTGACATCAGCTGAGCAGTCTGAAACATAGTTTCCATGGTAGAACTATGGCATGCGTTTTCGTTTAATTCGTAAACGGTACGGAATATGGTCCATTCTACCAACTGGACTCTTCGCTATATCATTTTAATGTTATTAATTACTTCATTAGAATTTTTCAACGCCTTACCTTTATACCTCCTGGTGCACCCATTCCATGTTCAACAGCTAATTGCAATGCTGTCCAGTTATTAAGAAGTAAGTCCACAATAGGTTTAAAATCATCGTATAACATTTTGTTTATGGTATGGCACGGTAATTCTTAACACATTACTGTACTTTTATTTATTAATTGATAAATTAAATAAATATTGAAACCATAAATAGGATCATAACCTTATTTATGACAACTTTAAAAAAATCGATCGTCTGTCATCTTCTCTGCCACAGATCAAAGAGTATCTAAAAGATAATTACAGATAAAAGAAGGCGTCAAACTGGGAATAACAGAGATGTGTCTGTGTCTTGGACACACACTCTTTGTTTAAAAAAAATTACACTGACAAACTGACAGATGACAGATGTAAACAAAATCATGAATTGGTCTTAGCGCGCGAGTTACATTACAATTATAAAAAAGTATTTATCAAGAAAAAAATGAGCGAAGAAATAAATGTTAGATTTGTAATACCAAAGGAATGTGTTTCTGAGGATGACTGCTGCGAAGAAATGAAACTGGCTTTTACAGTAAGTGTAGCACGTCGTGGTTTTACCCTGCACAAGAACTTTTAAGAAATATTACTAAAGTACATAACAGTTATAATGTTTACGTACCTGCTCGAGATCGTAACTTTGTCTATTGCTGGAGCTACTTACTGGTTAGATTCAGATTGTTCCTTTCGGTACTCTAATATTGCCTTATTCTACGACTTGCAAGATACATTTTGGATCTTCACTACTGTAACCATCAAAGCAGAGCAAAAAAAAAAGTACAGCTACCCTCTCCTGTTTTCTTTCACTTGAGCAGGAGTATGAGGTATTCTATAGAATACCCTAATCCATCAACAAAGTTTTATTTTCTTATCAATATTTTTCTAATTTAAAATATTTTCTCTTGCAGGCATGTGAACCACACATTGGAGGAGGCTTAAAACCGAGATGGGTACATGAAAAGACTTTTACTGAATTTAATAATCTAACTAAAAGAGATGTTTTTGTTTTATCTCAATTTGATGGAGAAATATTTCAGAAGCTAAAGGCAACAAAATGTCTGTAAGTAAATTTTCTATTTCCTCGTTGAGAGAGTCATGGGCCACAGCTAGTTTTTTTAAATTACTTTTTATGCTTTTAAGGTTAGTGGGACCACGATGCTTGGCATGTTCATTAATAGAAGGGACACCAATACCACAGGGTCCGGGGCCTGTCTTCACAATTGCTATGAGAGGCCTTATCATAACCGCTAGTGGATTGACTAAATCAAAAAAGGTAAAGAGTTGTAACTGCTCTTAAAATAATATATAATATATTTGCGGGTGGCACAAGATTGGTCATCGTGGCGATCTTTGGGGGAGGCCTATGCCCAGCAGTGGGCGTCTCATGGCTGAGTAGATAGATAGATAGATAGATATTTGTTCATCTATTTGTATAATTCCTGGTAATTTCAGGAAATTATACAACAAAAAGTGCACTGGATGGGTGGCATTTATAAACCGGAATTGACTGAAAATACAACGCATCTTGTTGCTGATAATGTCATTTCAGACAAGTATATTGTGAGTATTTTATTATTACTATTAAAAGATATAGATATTAACTCAATAGTGTAATAGAACTACAAGAAATTAAAATAAGTTATGAGCTGAGTAAACTACCTCTAACCTTTGCATCAACACATACTGAGCCATTGACGTAACTGGCATACATAAATCATACTGGCATGAAATTTGTTTTAGACCGAAAAAGAAGACATAAGTCAAACTATTATCAAAAAATTTAGTTAGACTTAAGCTCACTGGGTCAGATAATATTGTCAGTCTATAAATTATGATAGCTCATTAGCACTCTACTGTGAGTTTCTTAAGTGTCACTAGATCCTTGTAATACCATAGATTTTTGGTTATGTTTTTTCTGTTATTTTCTGACAGAAATAACCAAGCATCTCTTACCAGCTCAGTGCTTCTCATACTATAATGATTTGTGTTTGACAGCAATCAGTAAAGAAAGGTATACCAATAATGAAAGAAAGTTGGATAGAAGCGGTATGGTCAGCTTCCCTTAAATACAACATCAATGGAGCCTCAACAGATTTCAATGAGCATCGCTTACCACCATTCTTCAATCTTAATGTAACAACGTCTGGACTAAGTAGGAAAGAGAAACATTTGATTACAACACTGGTCAATGATAATGGAGGAATTTTCTCTGGTGCTTTCCAAAGTGAGACCACCGATGTTGTGGTACTTACCAAGTAAGTTTTGTTCGCCTTATCATCATCAGCTCACTATAAGTCCTCACTAATGGACATAGTCATCCATGATGGCCCAGTGTGGATTGGTTGACTTCCCACATATCTGAGAAGAAATTCAAAGATAGGTTGCATCATGATGTTTTCCTTCACCATAAGAACGTCGGATAAATGTAGATATGTAAATGGAAAAACACATTGGTACATGATGAGGTTTTGATTGATTGATTAATTTAATATAATATCTTGCAATTTCCTTAATGTTAATAGTAGTAGATAGATAATAGAAAAAGGAGAAGATGGCGAAAAAAAAAAACTTCCATGCCATTATTTTTACCCTTCATGCTGTTTTAAGATAAAGTTCATATTTTATTATTAAAAACTAATATGCATAGGTTGTGTTATGAAAGAGTTATTGTAACTTTATTTTATTTGTAGTATTTATGTATATTGTTTATGTATCAGAGACAACGTGGGCAGTGAGAAGTACAAAGCTGCGCTGGAGTATGGCAAAGCTTGTGTGGTGCCCGGCTGGGTGCGGGACTCGGCAGCGCGGGGCGTTGCCTTGCCTATGGCCAAGTACAAAGTGCTCGGTGCCTCGACGTCATCACCCTTAGCTGAGCACCGCTTGCCTGATATGAGTAAGTTAATTAATGAATTACAATTTGCACTCAATTCCATCTCTTAGTAGATATCAATATTTTGAGGGTTCCAATGCATTCCTTAGAGATCTAGAACATGCTTCTATTGCATCGAGGTTGTCCTCCAAGGGGGGTTTAGTAGGTCAAACCCCACAAAACCATGTCAAGTCTAGTTTGTTGTAGGGTATCTTTTCGAAGATTTCCCACCGATACCAAAAACAGATATAAATGTTTTAAGATATTTTAGCGGCTCTTAACTTTGCGCGAGTTCGCGGAACTCAATATTAGGTGTTATGAGGTATATATGGGGTATTTGATCTGTCAAGATATTTGAAAAGAACTATACCACTGCTTACAACTAAACTATTTTTATGCTAACATAATTATTTGTATTTCAGGTCTTAATTTCTCTAGGATAACAAATTCTAGACCGCCTAGTAATTTTGTCGATGAAACTAGATCTGTTGATTTGACAACATTATCGGGTAGAGGAAAGGTAATTGCAATTTAACTTAAAATACTTTAATGTATCGATACTTGTTAAGATACTTAGTTTTTGTATACATTTGTTTCCAGCTGTCACAAGAAAGCAAAAGATTGAGTGACGTCGACAGAGAAATTATTTCCGAATTTGAGAAATTCGACATGAGCTGTTTAAAAAAGGCTGGACCTATTTTTGATGGTTTTTGTGTAAGTTGGAATAAAAAATCTTTAAAGTCATTATTTCAATGTTACTTATTTGTATGTTTGTACTTAATAATCTCCGAAACTGTTGAAACGATTTGAAAAATTCTTTGACTTTTAGTAAGTTACATTATCCCCGGGTAACAGGCTATCTTACTAATATTATAAATGCGAATGTTTGGATGGATGGATGGATGTTTGTTTGAAGATATCTCTGGAACGGCAGAACGGATTTCGCTGAAATTTTGCACAGATGTAGAACAATCTGGAAGGACACTTAGGCTAATAATTTAGTTTTTTTTTTAAATACAGCGCGGTTGGAGTCCTGGGCCACAGCTAGTATTTTATAATTTCTAGACGAAGTCGTGGGCTACTGGTAGTAGTATATTTATTTAATATGCATTAGATCTGGGTGAGTGGTCTAGAGGGGTTGTGTCGCGAGCGCGCAGCCGCGTGCGTGTCGCGGTGCGGGGGCGTGCGGTACGACGGTGCGGGCGAGCGCGTGACGCACGCGGCTGCGGGCACGCGTGCGGCTGCGGCGGCGGCTGCGCGCGCACTGCCGGCTGTACCGGTGCTTAGTGCGGTGTGGTTGCTGCGCAGTGCGGAAGCCGGGAGACCGCTGCCTGAGACAGAGGTTAGTTATATTTAATCGTTGGCTTCTGAAACCAAAAACTTGTTATCTTTGATAATAATATAAGATTTTGGTGTCAGAAATCAACCATAAGTCGATTTTGTTGTGCAAAGCGGTAACTAAATTATGCCATCAATGATAGATAAATATAAAAGTTTATATGGAAGGATGGATGTCTGTGTTTATTTAATTCGCCGCGGACGGAGTCGCGGGCGACAGCTAGTATATACAGCAAAAAAAATGCTGGTGGCTGCTTTAGTAATTATAATTTTTAAACTATGTATTGTTGCAGTTTTTAATGGAACCGGAGCCATCAACGCCGGTGAAGTCAAGCGCTCGTAAGCCTCTTGCGGAGGCTGCATCTCCGATGAGTAAGCGCAATCTGCAGCTGCTCCGCCTGCCGCCGCCCACACCGGAGCCCTGCGTCTCCGCTCCCACGGAGCACCCGGAGCACCCGGAGCACCACGATGACATCGTCAATCATTACTTAAGCCGTGAGTCACTTTTACTGTAAGACATTTAACTTAGTGAAGATCATATTTAATTACCATTGAAGAAACCTTTGGTGACCATTGAACCACTTTAAATTTGAAAGTTAGCCCCTTTTCCACTAATCGATTAGCAGTTACGATCAGTGGAATTGGTACATGTCTTATATAAAAATATATAAAGAGAGGGCTATTGTGTATACAAATGTGTTCAGGCTATTTATGATATAGAAAATGTACCGGAAGCTGTGAGAGAGAAGACGCCGGAGATGGCGGCGTCCAACGCGACTCTGCAGCCCGGGATACCTGACATCACCGAGGATCTGCCAGAAGATCCCACTGAAGAGATTGAACAGATATTCAGAGGTTGTATTATTTCATACAATCTTTTTTGTATATGACAGTTTGGATGGATGTATGTTACCAGGTAACTCTAGATCGGTTGAATGGAGATGGTACGAAAAAAATAAACATTGTTTTTTAATTTGACTAATGACAGATGACAGCCCACTCTTGATGCTAGCGCCATCTACTAAGAGCTTTTAATTTTTCTCCTCATTCCGACGTCTTATTATGAAAGAAGAAATTCAAAGATGTATGAAGTCAACGTCTGGCGAGGACTATGGTCGGAGTGATGTCAGAGGTGATGACATGCTTGGTGGACATGTTCAGGTGTGAAGCTGGAGGTGCAGGGTCTGGAGGAGGAGGCGGTGTGCGAGGTGGGGGCGGAGGTGTCGGCGGCGGGGGGCGTGCTGTGCGCGGCGGGGGCGGGCGGGGCGTACGTCCTCGTGCCACTGGACTTTGACCCCGACGACCTTGTTACAACTACCGCTGAGCCGGTCACAGTATTCTGGGTGGTGAGCAAATACAACTTCAACATAAATATTTCTTTGATAACTTCGTCGAGTTTTTTTTTTAAATATATTTTAATTAAAATTTTTATGAGAATGAGAATTATTTATATTTTTATTAAAATCCACACAAAATATTCCTTAGTTAAAAATCTGATGTCTTTCTGAATCGTGTTTAATGCGACAAGTAAAAAAAAATTATATTGTCACGTTGTATCGATTATCATAGTTTTAGTTAGAATTGAATATTTGTTGCAGAAAGACTGCCTGTGCCAACAAGAGCTGCTGCCGCTGCAGTACTACCACAGGCCGGTGCGCGCGACGTGGCGCGGCGCCCCGCTGGCCGGCGTCGTGGCCAGCCTCAGCACGTATAGCGGCGTCGAGCGCGCCTTCCTTGATGAGCTCGCCAAGCTGCTCGGCGCCACGTAAGTCATTATACCAATTTCTTGTTTACTCTTCAATTTACATGAAGGAATGTTATGGTTAACCGTGGGTTTCTGACATCGAAATCTATGTATACAATGTATCGTCAACCCTGTGATTTTTTTTACAACACAGAGGTTAATAATAATATGTTTTAAAGGTAGATTTTGACCTCAGAAATCCACGGCAAGACGACCTT